GAACGGCAGCTCATCGAGGATGAGCTAGCCAGGAAACAGGCTGAACTCGAAGAGTTGGAGCAGATGCGGCGAGAGGCTGGTTTTACACCACGTTCCTCGCTGCGTCGCACCCCCCCGCAAGGGTTCAGCACACCCCCGGTCCCATATAGCATCCCCGCTGCAGCATCCACCTCTATGGCTAAAAGGCCGTTAACCTCACCTGAGGACGTGCAGGAGACCGTCAGGCGCCGCGTTGCGGAGAAAAGGTCTGCTATTCCGCCTGTTAGTGGCATATTGAGCAGACCCATCTCTGACCCGTCCTCAGGATCTGATAATCCCACGCCGTCCACTAGTACTGACAGCTCCAGTGGCATTTCAACGCTGGACAAGGTTGCGTTAATGGAGAAGGTACATGCGGCCCTAAAAGGAATCGCGACTGTCGCCAATGCGAGCAACAAGCTCAACTTGGCTGATAAAACCACTATCGGCAGCCTTAGCCAGGACATTCTAGCGTACGTGGCAACGTTAGAGATTAGGCTCGGAGAAAAGGAGCAAGAAGTGACTGCCTGCAAACTTAAGTGTGCGCAACTGGAACTGTCAGTAGCCCAAACCCAAACCCTTTCTGCCCCTCCTTTCCCCTATGCGGCCTCTTCCGTTCCCTCTGCTGACAGCTATGCTGCCAGGTTGAAGCTGCCTAAGGGTAAGCCGCCACTTTGTGTCCAGTCCAAGGGCCCGGCAGTCATTGTTTACCCAAACAATGATTCCATAAAGTCGTCGGACGATACAAAGACTGAGTTGCAGAAGGCAGTTCAGCCTGGCACCCAGGGAATCAAAATACACAGTGTGCGAAAAGTAGGGAACTCCGGCATTGTGGTACAGACGGCAACTATTGAGGCTGCCCAGAAATTGAAGGCAGCGGTTCCGCCTTCCTTGAAGGTCTCTGATCCCAAAAGTAGGCGGCCACTGGTGGCAGTGCGCAATTTGCGTTCGGACCCGCCAGCCACTGAATTTATTGAGGATTTGTACAGGATCAATCTGAGTGATGATCCTGACTGGCCTAGAGATAAGTTTGGCGAATCATGCAGAGTTGCCTTCAAGAAGGGCCGGAAAGATGTACCTCGCACCACAGTAGTGATGGAGTGCACATCTGCGCTGCGGGACAAATTGGTCGGCCTCGGCAGCGTCTTCATTGGTTGGGACGAAGCTGAAGTCTGCGACTATGTACGGGTGACATGCTGCACTAAATGTCAGCAGTATGGCCATCCGGAGAAGCATTGCAGGGCGGCAGCGATGGTCTGCGGCAAATGTGGCGAGACCGGTCATCGTGCCGCAGAGTGCCAGTCGGCTACACAGTGCTGCGCCACATGCAAGCGCTTCAAGCGGAAAGATGCTGACCAACATGCCACTGCCGCTCTTAACTGTCCTGCACGTTTGCACGCGGAACAGCAGTCGGTCAATATGACCCAATATGGATAGGACGACTACCTTTCGCGTAGGTCAGCTCAACTTGCAAGGCTCGAGGACGGCTACCACTGAGCTTCCTGTCATAGCCGGAGAACTGGGGTTGGATCTAGTACTAGTTCAGGAGCAACATCAGCATCCTCAAGTACTTGGGAGCGGCACCAACCCTAAGGCCGGTCTATTACCAGTAAGTTCACGATTTGTAGTCACGCTCCTACATGACTTATGCAACGAACACTGTGTTGTAGGTCATGTCAGCTGCCAGAGCTTTAGCATATACGTCGTATCGTTATACTGCCAGTACAGTCATGACATCTCTTGTCACCTGCAACATCTCACCCACGTGATGGATCAGCTTTCTGGTCACCCAATCCTTATTGGTGTAGACAGTAACGCTCACTCTCCAATGTGGCACTGCGAGCGCAGGCAATATGTAGGTCGGGGCTCCGATACAGAATACCGCAAACTCCAGATGGAGGGATTCATCCTCGGACGGAATTTGCTGGTACATAATGTGGAGGGTCAACCGCCAACATTTCATAGCCCAAATGGCTCGTCCAATGTGGATATTACCATCTCCACACGTAGTGTGAGGGTTGCTGACTGGAAGGTGCATGAGGGTGTTAGTGTAAGTGACCACCAGTTGATAACGTTTGGCGTTATCCTTGGTGACTCACACGGGTACAATGGCACAGAATTTTCAGATAACGTATGTTACTTTCGTGAACGTGGTGTGAACTGGGGAGGATTTTGTTCGACTCTGCACGCCCGCATGTCCCAGCTGAGGCTAACGCGGCCAGCTAGTGATATCTGCGAGCAGTACTCTGCAATACTTCTACGTACTGCGAGAGAACGATTAGGTACACGTGCGAAAAAGGAGAAAGAAGGGTACGAGTGGTGGTCTCCGGCTCTTGACCGAATGCGTAACGAGGTCTATTGTGCACGTCGTAAGTGGCAGGCCTCACGTCGCATAGGAGGCGACAGGGAGAAGGCTCTTCAAGATTATCTCCGACGAACCAGGATACGCTACAAGCTAGCTATGAAGGAAGCTGAACTTGCCTTCTTCCGCTCTGTCGCGGAATCAGGTAACGCCGATCCGTGGGGCCTGGCTTACCGAACAGCCAGTGGACGTTTTCGTCCACCTCTCAACGTGCTAAATGGAGTGAGATTAGCTGACGGCTATACTAGGACGACCGGAGACACCATGCTTGGCCTCGTCAATGCCTTATGCCCAGACGATAATCTAGCCAGGGACACTGTATACCATCGACAAGTGCGGATCGCTGCTGCATGTGCTCCATCTGGAACTGATGCTACTCCACCGACCAAAGAACAAGTTGGACTCATCATTCGAGAACTGCCGAACACTGCACCCGGCATTGACGGAATCACGGCTAAGATTGTTAGACAGGCATGGCGGGTAACTGGTGACGAGATCTGGCACATGTTTAGGGCGTGCATAGTCGAGGGCGTTTTTCCGGATCTGTGGAAGATGGGCAAACTCGTTGTTCTGCCAAAGGGTGGCGACAGGCCGCTCACAGACCCTAAAGCCTACCGCCCGATAACTTTGCTGCCCATATTGGGAAAAATTCTGGAGCGTGTGATCATCTCCTGCGCTCCATGTCTTTACCGCGGAATCTCCGATGCACAACATGGCTTCACGCGTGGCCGATCCACAGTGACCGCCCTTAATACTATCAACCGAATTACCAACGGATCAACCGAAAATTACGTGCAACTGATCCTTTTGGACATATCTGGAGCCTTTGACAATGCCTGGTGGCCAATGGTCCTACTCAAGGCAAAGCAATGTGGCGTTCCACCTAATATTTACCGTATTTTAACGAGTTACTTCATAAATCGCCGTGTAGGACTGTTTGCTGGAAACCGGGTAGTGTGGAAGGTCTCCACGATGGGCTGTCCTCAGGGATCGGTGCTCGGACCAACCCTATGGAACCTCCTACTCGATGACCTCCTGAAGCTGCCAAAACCCGAAGGAGTACACTTCGTTGCTTACGCCGACGATGTGACGATCGTGGTCGAAGCATCGTCTCGTTCCGCAATAGAGCGCAAAGCGGCAACTACGATCGCTGCCGTGTCCGAGTGGGGTATTCGTAACAGACTAGGGTTTTCTACCGGGAAGTCACAAACAATGACCTATAAGGGCAAGTTTAAACGTGGACCAATTATAAAGATGGACGGTGCAACGATCACGAGTGTTTCACAGGCAAGAGCCCTAGGAATAATTTTGGACGAGGCTAGGTCCTATGTGCAGCATGCATTATATATCGGCGAGAAGGCCGCCGCTTGCTTCGGGAAGATGTCGCGAGTGTCTTCATCGACCTGGGGCATAAGATTTCACGCCCTTAGAGTCCTGTATTCAGGGACCTATGTGGCAACGTTGACATATGCTGCTGCCGTATGGTACCAACGCTCGTCCCTTTATGTTATCAGAAGCGTACTGATGAGGACGCAAAGACCAGCTTTGATTCTTCTCACGAAGGCTTACAGGACGGCTAGCAACGCAGCGCTACCGGTGTTGGCGGGCGTATTGCCTGCCGACCTGGAAGTTTTTCGTGCGGGACGAGTCGACGAGGAGGGGACGGGTCTGGTCGACAAGGAGCGCAGGAAGAAAAAGAGGGAGATGATGGCGGCTGTCGTTGCCATTTGGCAGGACCGGTGGGATTCAAGCCAAGATGGCAAGGATCTGTACAAGTTTTTCCCGGACATCGCAGAGCGTCTAATCTTCAGGTGGGTCGAGCCCGATTATGCAGTATCGCAGATTCTTGTTGGTCACGGGTGTTTCAATGAGCGTCTCCTAAAATTCAACCTTAGGAACTCTGGCTTATGCCCCTGCGGCTCAGCACTGGAGAGTCGTGACCATGCTCTCTGGGATTGCGATCTGTATATTGAAGAGAGGAACGCATTATTGGACAGCCTACAAAGAACAGAAATAGGACCAGTATACTTCCGGGATCTAGTGTGCTGCGAATCCAACTTTAAGGAGTTTAGGAGATTTGCGCATGCATGGCATCACAAAAGGAAACAGTATGAGGACTGAAAATACGACCAGATAGCTGCGAACGCGAAGTGTCGTCGCTGTGGAGTCACGCCCCAGAAGGGGGAGAAGTGAAACGTAGAGAAAAGGGACGGAACAGAGAAATTTGTAGGGAGTCAAGTAAGCGCACGCGGGAAAGAGCCCCGAGCAAGTACCGTGTGCGTCTCCCGTGATTCGGTCCGTATGCCGCAAGGCGGGAAGGACCATGGGATGGTGGAGGGATTGTCCCTATCTACTATCTAGCGAAACCACAGCCAAGGGAACGGGCTTGGGAGAATCAGCGGGGAAAGAAGACCCTGTTGAGCTTGACTCTAGTCTGGCATTGTAAGGAGACATGAGAGGTGTAGCATAAGTGGGAGATCGTTCGCGCGGTCGTCGCTGAAAAACCACTACTTTCATTGTTTCATTACTTACTCGGTTGGGCGGAAGCGGTGCGCGGTCGATTTTATCGGCGGGCGCACGGTGTTTCGTTCCAAGCGTGCAGAGTGGCGGCGTGGCGGCA